GTGTGCTCTTCCGATCTCCCCAAAACCCCAAAACCCCAAAACCCCATTGTAATTTTAAAAGGTCAATTTTTATTAAGGCAATAATATATTTAATCAATCAAAAGTTTTTAAGATAAGATGGTCTCATTTCACTAAACCTGGGTTTTCTAATACAATACTTCTCTCCTACTTTACTGTTAAATTCATAGACCCAATGAGCAAGCAAATACTCCATTTGATTAGCTTATATATCTGATTCCTCAAATAATACCATCTTTGATGGCTAATCTACCCAGTGCTTAGACTATTCTACTCTATAGTCAGATTATTAATTTTATATTCTCTGTACATAAGGCTTTAATTACTCAGATCTGTCTTAGCAAAATATCAAGCAAATAGTAAAAAATTTTTCATCTGGTGAATTCTCCTACTCTTAGAACGGAGTTGTTTTAGCATCATCTAACCCCTCCTGCATTTAATGGTAAACTAAAGCTCCTTACTCATCTCTGTAGAGATTTCTTATATATTCATCTATAGCTTCCTTTGCTCTTTGTTCCTCATTAAAATTACCTTTTTATAATTCAAATGTAACGAATCTATGGCACATAGTAGTATTGGTATAAGTAACATGTAAATTTATTTGAAACTTTCTTTTTTGTGTAGCAATAGAATTTTACTGCTACTACCTCATATTATTGCTTAAAGATCTTGATTATTTTTAATCAGTCGTATTTGCTCTTGGTGACATTGTCATTGGTGAGACAGATTCATGACCTACAGGAGATGGAGGCCTATAATTGTCTCTTACTGGCATTACATCATCTATTAGGACCCAAGAATGATTGCCTCCTGCAAAAACTTTATAAACGTTTCTTGCACCAAGATTAGCAATGTGAGTAAACTAAGTTCTTGATTCTTTATCATTCATTCCTCTAATAGTATTTTTAATCATTTAAAATAGCTTACAATTATCCATGATTTCCATAACCGGATGCAAATAAATCTCCTCTATCACTTAAAACTAATGAATGATTCCATCCAGCTGCAATTGATCTTATTTTCTTGCTTAGAAGATCTTTTACTAACTGTGGGGAAGAGTAGTTTTTTGTATTTCTAAGTCCTAATTGTCCATGAGAGCCGTACCCAAATGAATAAACTCTCCCTCTTGCCGTCAGAAGTAGCGAGTGATGACCACCTGCAGATATCGATACTATTTGAGGTTTGCTTTATTAAAACCCAAATTCATTTTAGAATTAATTCATTTCATTATTACTGATGTATTCTCTTGGCATTTTCACAAGCTTAGGTTTACAGCTTGCCTGAAATTCTCCTAGACCACACTCACCATAAGTGCCGCTTCCCCATGCATAAAGTTCATTATCTTCTTCGCACAATGCTAATGTATGATAGCCTCCTGCAGAGATTTATGCTACTTTCCTATGACTAATTCCTTGAACTTGTTGAGGTGATTCGCAATCTTCCAAATTTCCATGTCCACATTATCCCTTATTGTAAGCTGCACCTCCACCACCCCAAGAGTAAACTCTTCCTTATTGATCTAAAGCTACAGAATGAAAATCACCACAATCAATGAAGACTATATTCTTTCCTTAAAGACCTTGTACAGTTCGAGGCTCATTATTTTAGGCCTAGTTATTCTTTTCTCCAACTTTTTTATGCAAAGTTCCACCCCAAGCATAAACTTATCCATCATTCATCAAGCATAGAGTATGATAATCTCCGCAAGCGACTTGCTTTACTTTCATACCTTCAAACATTGTTACTTAGGTGAATCTAGATAAATGCATTCCATTGCTGCTTTAAATTCCAAGTTTTCCATGCAATTAAGACCCACAAACATATAGCTCACCTGACTTTGATACAATTGCAGAATGATGCGAGCCACTCGATATCCATTTGGCTGTTTAAGTCACTTTTAAGTTAACATTAATAATAGGTCTAGGGAGAAACTAATCTTTTTAAGAACCTATTCCAAGCTCGCCATCAACGTTTTTACCAAAAACCCAAATATATGCTTTTTTGTTCTAAATTTCTCTAACAATATCATCAATGGAATCATAATTATTCTCTTTTTAAGGATTATATTTACTTGATGGTGTATTTTCTTCATTTGCATAAGACATGCTTTTTGCTTATGTAACCATATTTGTCATCATTGCTCCTTCTTCCTCTTCATTGAAATGTATATCATCATTACCAAGATCATTGAGATCAAATTAGTCATCATTGTAGTCTTATCTGGGAGTTCTGCTGGACTTATTCCCTGACAAAGTTTTTTGATTGTTCTCTTGATAATTGAGATATTTCTTTAAGTCATTCTTATTTTTTTCTTCCTCTTATTAACCACCTCTATTGCTTTTTAGTGAGATATTGGTAGATGGCTGATTATAATTATTGAAATTGGCTTGCTTATCCAAAGAAGCCAAAAGCTCCTGCCTGAATCGTTATTAAGAGTTTAAATTTTCCAAATTCATATTTCAAATTGTATTTATTCTCTTTTTATTTAACAATATCCTTTTATTCGGGGTTTTGGGGTTTTGGGGTTTTGGGGAAGCAAG